ATTAAATATTTCTGTAAATCTTCTCTACTCTGGAGTGTCAACTGTCATAACAAAATCATCAGCTAATCCTTTTTCTAAAAGAGATAAAAAGATAAGTAATTCTACGGTAAAAATTTTCATTCGTCTAATTATGAGCAAAAGGATTTGAACTTACTATGAAGAGCTCACAGGTATAAGCCAAGTTGTCCGCCATTTTCATGTCTTCTTTAATTTTAATCACATGTTTACTTACTTAAAATAAAGATGTCAAGGATTAGAGATGGTAAAGATTACGAATTTAATATTCTCTCTAATTAATATGTGGCACCACTATTTTTAAACAATATTTTATACACGTTGTTATGGAATTCACACTGTAATGTATTTTAACAATCGAACCATCTATATTTTAAAATATCATTCATAGATTATCCTTACAAAAAATTAGACAAATTAAAAACTATTAAGACATTTATTTGTAGTAAACAAATTGTGCGGACACGATTATACAAAGAACCACAACCTCTTAATCTAAGAGACATAAGGTTTTGGACTTGGATAATTTTTTGCAATGATGATCTATCAATGACGTTCTAAAATATGGACAATTCAGATCGTTGATATACATGAAGAAGTGAGCTCCTAAAAGACATGTGTCAATTCAATGTACACCAACAAAAAAAAAAATTGTATAAAAAAAGTAATGTTACATATCTGCTCTATATATATATATATATATATATATAAGACCTAAATTTTCGAATTTGATTTCCTTCTTCTTTATTCTTGCTCTTATAAAATAAATAAAAACCATAGATTACCAGAATTATGCAATTCGTTGTAAAATATCTAATTCGCATATCTACTTCATAGAAAAATCCAACCCTCTTGTGCTAAATAATGTACAAAACTAGTATGGTTCTATTTAAAATGACCAAGACGATGTTGATATGTGAGTCGAGATCTCGTATTTCTATCTTATCCAACATCTCGAATCCACATTACTCTTATAATATATTTTACCGCAAACAAGATAACATACTCTAACTTCACACACTGTCATATACACAAACATAGACTCAAACAAAGCCAGCCTTATTATTATTTTTTATTTTTTTAAAGGGAACAACTAGTGGCAAGTCACGGTTATCCATATATTTCGGGGGTTGGAAAGACTCACAAAAACATTTCAGCCTCCTTCTGACTACAAATCTGGCTTCCACACCAGTAGCAGCTTTCGAACCCAAAATCTCCAGTTTTTTGCTTTAAGAAAGTCTCATAATCCATTATTTATCACTTGACCACCAGCTATAGCTAGTGGTTCAGCCTTATTATTTAAATACAACCATGACAACAGCGTGTAAGATTATAAACTATGATATTATAATTGGATTAACCGACTTAATCAAACTGTTCCAAATACAAAAATATTCTAATCTTTGGATCGGAGGACGACGACCGACTTTGCTCTTCATCTTCGAGATCGTCACCTTTGTAATTTGTAGACTTTTTTTTTTCTTTGAATACAACGTTATTTGGTTTTGTTTACATGTGGATGTGTGGCAAAGTTTCATTTTCTTCAAAAGGGAGATAACTGGTGATAAGTTACTGTTATCCATCCATTCTAAGGGTTGAAAAAATTCACAGAGACATTTCAGCCTCCTCGGTCCATAAGTCTGGCTTCCACACCAACAGCAGGTTTCGAACTCGAGACCTCCGGTTTTTTGTTCTAAGGAAGCATCGTAATTCGTCTTTTACTACTAGGCCACCAGCTCGTTAAGTGTTGCAAAGTTTATTCATTTCGTTTGTAATTGTGGGTCTTCTAGTTGACAATTACAAACTCATAAGACTTAAGAGAGGGAGAAACTTAGGTGTGTATATATGGTATCTCACATACCAAAATGACAGTCTCTTAGGTTTGAGATAATTATTAACCGGACGAGTATTGCACTTCTTGAATACATGGCAAACGTTTATTTGACAACGATGCGACTGAGATTAAAACTTTATTGGATAAGAGGATCTCTCCTCAAGTCTTTCACAAGCTATAATTTGAGTAGCTCAAATTGTATTGTATAATATATTTGAGATACCATCATTTTAACATTATAGTCGCTTGTAAATTCTTCAACGGCATATGATATGTAAATGTATTATTTGGTGCCTATACATGGTTTTTTATTTTTTACAACAATAACAGTTATAAGGGTTGCCACATGGGTACAATCTCAAGCAACCAAATATTTGATCGGTAGGTAGTTCGCACAAACAAGCAATGATGATAATCCCTTAATTGGCTACGACAAGCGCGCGCACTAGAACAAACACCTTAGTACAAATCTACCACAAAGACGGCATAAGCAATAGACTTATCACAAAACACACTAATGTCACCGCCACACAAGCGAAGCTACATTAAACCATAGTTAACAAGCGAGGTCACATCAAACCCACTGTAAACACGCAAGGTCATGTCAAAACTACTGCACACACGCAATGCTACAGCACTCGTTAAGCGAGACATTATCCGCTAAATACAGTACAAACAAATCAACATTGAATTGCACTAATTCGAAAAACAAAATCCTCCGGTTGACATGTATCCAACGATTAGCCCATCAAAACCTACAACTTTAGCGCTTCAAGCGGAGATCTGGCGGCTACACGCAATATAGTCGCATTCCCATGTAATGGGGGAACTGGATTTGAAAGGTAGCAACCAATCAAGGATTAGGTGACCAAATCAAAGTCCCCAACTTGTAGTTGGAAGTTGGAAGAAGTATCTTCCTTTACAAAACAAAGTTGGAAATATTCTCACCACTTTGACTTCTCTCTAGGTAGACGTTCTAATGTACTAATTTTATGATATGTTTACTTTATATTTACATATGTCACGTATTATGTTAAATTTTAGAGATACTTGTAAATTCTTTTATATGTGCTTGTAAAAATATTCATACGTTAGTAAATGCAAGATATGTTCAGGATCAAAATAATTATAATTCTCAGTTCATGTAAGTAAACAGATCATCGGAGAGAATAATTGAACAATGATATAAGTTGTAGGAGTATCGACTTTTAGCTAAAAATCTTTTGTTAGCCACAACGGGATGGTCTAGTGTTTGGGGCAAATTCCAAGTCCATATTTCATACAGTTCATCCTTGAGTTCGATTCCTGGTATCGATGAACCACGATGGACTATGAGAGGTTTAAATACCTCAGTGGGTTTTTTCAACCTCCAAAAAAGTGATATGCCGTGAGTTGGCCACCAGCTGATAGTAGATGACATGTTTTCTCTTAGATTTGTTGCAAGAGATTAGTTACTTGATCGATTAACATCATTTACGTTTACACTCGACTCGGTATCCCATACGGCAGTAGATGACATGTTTTCCTCTCATGACCTTCAATGCCAACGGGCCACCAAATTATTTAGTACAAAGCAGAGGGAGGAGATGTTGCATTCATTGGTAAGGACTTGAGAAGTTCAGTTCGATTGCTGGCATTCGAAAGCGTTCATTGAATTCAGAATAACAATGTTCAACGTTGATGGGCAGTGGGAGGAGGGTGATGAGTCACCAACTCAATGGGCTTGGATTTCTTATGTTATTACCTTCAGCCCAAAGCCCATCTCAGTTTAATTTTGGGTCAACTTAAACTCCATCTAGCATTGTCTGCCATGGTTTAAAGACCGGCCATTGGGGCTTTTGACTAGGATCGGAAAACTTCTAATCCAATTGTATGCCCTTAGATTTTAAAAGTTTTTGTAGGTTAAATAGTTAGTCGTTAAGGAAGACTGAAATTAGTAAAAAAAAAAAAAGGAAGAGAGGAATCGGTAGAAGTTAAGTCCGCACTAAAGTTTACAAACGTTATTGTTTTCTACTACTGTATAAAGCGTCATTTGCAAGTAAGAATTTCAATCTTCTTTTTATTTTTGTTGTTTTTTAACCATACCCTCAGTCTTGTTATTCTATTATCATATTAAATAATTTATTTTGGATAGTAAATTAGTAAAATATCAAAGACGTAAACTTGCTTAAGTTTTTATTATTAAGCCAAATGGAGAGGATGTGAAAAAATAAGTTAGAGTTATGTTAGATCAAATGTTCGAGTTCTGTGTAATTGTGTCTAATGAAAGAAGATAAATCTTATTTTTGTTTATGTCACATGCTCTAGCAACAATTATTGTGCTAATACAACATTCATAAGACCACTTAAGACCACTTAGTCTTTGGTCTAGTGGTAGCTGTTTTCATTTAGTTAGATTAACACTGAAAAACCGATGTGTATATATATGATGAGTATGTTACAATATACCTATCCTAATTATAGTGCTGTGACTTTACTGTGCATGTATTTATAAAAACTAAATTCATGCACATACACAACCAGATACGATATTCAGTCAAAATTACCCATTAATTCCGACGAAAAACGAATGAGATTAACTGAGAAATGTGATTAAGTCTGAATTGGACTGCCAACGTATTCCGGAATCGTATAAAATGAAATAACACTATACTAATCAAGAAGCATAAAAGTTGAAATAGGGGATAGAAACCTACATATATCTCAAATAAAATAATAAATCGAAGAAGAAAAGGTAATTTTTTTTATTATGATTGAAACACAGATGGTACGTCATGTGTTTTTATGTAAGTGGTGAGAAATTTTATTTTTTAAGTTATTAATTTTTTAACACATATATTGTACAATTTGTATAATAATATCATCTCACAGTCACAGCAAAATCTCTCGACAATCATTTAATGGTACTGAAATTTACCCTATAAATGGCGGGAGCCTCCCCGCTCGTAAGTCTCTCTCTCTCTCTCTCTCTCTCGTCAACTCTTCTCTAAATTACACATCAACCCCTCCAAAACCCTCCAATCGCAAAACACTCCAAATCGTCCAGGTGCTTCCCCTTCGCAATCTCTCTGGTGGAGTAACTCCGTTGCCGGTCCTCTCATCTCGTAAATTCCTGCAATTCCTGGTTTTACATTTGCCCCCTTTTCTTTGAGCCTCGCGAACCCTAGGTTTTTCTGAGCAGAGTGAGCAAGTGAGTTGGAGTAGTACCGTAGCTTCTGATTCAATGGAGGCTGCGGCCGCTGCGCGCGGTAGTTCCATGCCGATGCCACCTCCGCCAGCCCGCAAAGAGTGGCGCGCCGTCTCCGACCATCATTCGGCCCGAAACATCGGGGATGAGGTAGTAATCTGCTCAAAACCACTTGCATTGGGTTCTATTGGGTGTCTAATTAATGCAAAAAGAGAAAATAAATGAAATTTGGAACCTTGGGTTTGGATTGTGAAAAACCCTTCAGGTGAAATGAGGATTAGGGTTTGCAATTGCATGTTATTTTATCCATTTTTTCTTTTTGGGATTAAGTATGCGAAAACCCTTTTTCCATTACGCAATTGGTTAATTCATTTGTGGGGTTGGTGTCTGTGGGTCGGTGGGTAATTTGGTTGCTGCTCTCACACTTTACCATTAGAAGATTGTTATAATCTAAATACTTGAAGGTGAATCGTTTGGTGAATGTGCCTATATTTTGAATGAAGCAACAATATCTCACATTTTGAAGAAAAAAAAAACCCACACCCTTTCTGCCTTATGATGGGTAAAAATGAAGGAAATTTCACAACTCGTATTTTGTTTGAATGATTGGGTATTGGATATATAATGTTCGGTGTACTGCGAATAATAATGCATCTGACAAATTTTTTAGTTGCGTGAGTTCATTTGCTTGAAATGAAGAGCTTCATGGAAAAAGATAACTTAATTTTTAGCATTGGCTAAAGCTTCTACTGTGAGCATTACTGTTAGCTGATTAAGATGTGGTATTTTAAATTTTTGCTTCTTGTTTTGTTTGAACTATTTAGTGCTACTCGTGTAGCATTTGTATCTGCTGTTTTGGCATTATCTTGTTCTTGAATTGGGTATATTTCAATATGCAGGAGTTGGAACGATCAAAGCTAGGCCAATCGGATGAGAGAACAATATATGAGGTAAGGGTGTTGATATTAGTATTAGCTTGTATTCTGAAGGATTCAACGAAAGTGAATATGATTTGTTATCGAACAAGGTGCAGCAAGGAAGAGAGCCAGTTGATGTGGACTTCTGTTCGATCACAATAGATGGAACTTTAGATCATGACCTTTTGCAGCAGCGGGTTGAAGATGTTTCTAGGCAAAGAGAGGAACTGCAACATATGGAGATTGATCTTAAAGCTCAAATCATTGCAAGATCTGAGATAATTGAAATACAAAAGAACTTTGATGCTCAAATAAAGGAACATGTCAATGCTGCTTCCAAGCTTCAGGTTTTCATTGATGATTTGATATGTAGTTTATAATGTGTATTACGATAGGGTTTTTCAGATTGCAATTACAAGAATCTCATGAGGCGTAATAAATATCCAAGTTATGTTAGCATTCTTATTGTGATTTTGCAGTGTCACATTGCACATTCCGCATTTGGTGAGAATATGTGTAATCTTAAGCTAAAAATTTATCGGCCAATCTTAAAGGGCATATTTGATTGTTACATGTTTTCCTTGAGATATATGCGTGAAAATGATCTACTAACAGCGTCAATCTGAACTGTGGGTTTACACCGTGCAGGAGCAACTTCATGAAAGGGAGCAAACCATACATGATTTGGAAAGGAAAATGGATGAGAAAGATAGAGAGCTGCATGCTGTCAGGCTAGATAACGAAGCGGTAAATGAATGCTTGTGTATTTTATATGTTTTAATTGAGCACTTTGGGTGAATAAAAATTCTTAATCTTTTGGTTTTCATAATGTTCTGGCAGGCCTGGGCTAAAGAAGACCTTCTTCGAGAACAGAATAAAGAATTAGCAAGTATCAGGTACTAGTCTGTTTGTTTAAGAACTGTTCACTGCACTTCTACTCTCTTGTCCAATAATGCATGTACTTTTTGTTTAGATGTAAATCAAGCTTGTCTTTTATTATTGCATGCTATTTAAAGGTTTTGTATTTCATTTTTTGGTGAACAATGCTGGGTTGAGGTTATAATCATATGAACCAATTTGAATGAGTTACTGTTCATTGCAGAAGGGAACGTGACCATTCGGAAGCTGAAAGAACCCAACACATACAACAATTACATGACCTGCAAGAGCATATTCAAGAAAACGAGAGGCAGCTTAATGATCTCCGGGAACAGGTATGTTGATTTGCAAGTATCGATGTACAACTCTCAAGTTTTCACACATTTAAATTGTACATAAATTTAGAATATGCATAGGTCCATAGGTGGTTCTTTTCTACTAACTTTCATTCTCTGAATGAACAAAGTCTATGGTGCTTTTGTTTTGAACGGTCAGACTGAAATGTAAGTGACATTCAAATTGGAACAAATTTGGTAAATATTTCTGCAAGTTGCATGCTAATTTAGTTCTATAGATGTAATGCGGCTAGTGCCTGATAGTGTTTGTATTTTCAGCATAGGCTTGCTCAAGAAGCCATTCTTTATAAAGATGAACGGTTGAGGGAGGCCCAAGCTTGGATCGCTCATGTTCAGGAAATGGATGCCTTGCAGTCAACTACAATCCAAGCTGAATTGCGGGAACGTACAGAACAATATAATCAACTCTGGCTTGGTTGTCAAAGGCAGGTTGGTTTATTTGTTCTATCTCTCTCACACTTCCTGGGCGTTTTATTTTGTTAAAAGTTGAACTTGCGGGCATGTTCAGACATGGGCATCCGCAAATTGTATGTTTGGCTATATGCCGATTTTTTTCAAAAATTATGTCAGATACTATGTGATGCAAGTGCTATACATAGTGAAACATGGTTTTTGTTTCATTCAAAGTTTGTTCACGTTTTTTTTATTTTCCTTTTTGGCTCACTGATTTCAGTTTGCTGAGATGGAGAGACGTCATATGCATACAGTACAACAGCTTCAACTTGAGCTGGCTGATGCAAGAGAAAGGAGTGGGACTTACACCGATGAATCATGCATGGCACAATCAAATTCAAAGGATGCATCTCAATTTGGTCAGAACAATGGAAACCAGCTAGATATGAATACATCAAATGGAAATACAGGGCCCTTCCAAAATGGAAATTCAGATGATGTTCCCTCATTTCCTTCAACTGGAAACACATCAGCTCAGGTAGCTGCACCCTTTTGTGGTTTTCGTGTTGGTAGCTTTGACATATTATTGCCTTTTTGGCTAAAGACCTTCTGTTTGAAATGAAATTCGTAAGTAGGAATTTGATTTAGTTATTATTTATATCATTTCCGTGACATTAAGTTTTGGATCGGTATTAGATCGACCATGTTGCTGGGGTTCCAATTTCTCCATCATCTCTACTTGGTATGCCTTCCTATCTTCCCCCTGGACAAGTGACTGCTCTACATCCATTTCTTATGCATCAACAAGGGGTACCTCATTCGGTCCCACCACATGTTCCTCAATCTCATGTTGGGCATTTTCACTCGATACCTGCAGTATCGTCTCTCCAACAGTGGCAGAACCAACAGGTGCTGAGATGAATAAATCTTTCTGTCCAGATTATTTTAATCTACAACGATAACAGACTTATGTTCTTCATTTTCTCTTTTAAGGCTCCATCTGAGAGATTGCAGATATCTACACAGAATGAGCTTCCATCTTCACAAAATGATCCAAACTTAATAAGACCAGATTATAACTATGAATCATCTGTTAATGGGCAATCTCTTCATCAAGACTATTTAAATGTCCAACTTAACCAAGGGGCACCACCTGATTCTGTCTTGTCATCATCCACCGGGGAAGCACAGGTATTGCCTCGCATTTGATGATTACGTAGTGATTTTATTTTGTGTGCAAGTCTGTGCATCTTTGCTGGAGTCACTGTTATTTTTTTGGTTCAGGTTCTCGAGTCAATTGATAGTAGAGGTTATTTGGTCTCATCCCAACCTGATCAGAGCTTGCAACAAATTTCCTCCCAATTCCACAACGCTTTAAGATTGGATTCTCTTGAGCAGAACAGTGAAACCAAGGTAGATAAGCTTCTCTTGTTATTTTCTTATTCAGGCTGGAGCTTTGTGGTCAGCCTGTCTGGTTATAGTGCAAATAGTAACTAGGGAAGAAATTCAGACTAACTTTGCTTTTGGACAGGCACCAGAGCAAAATGTTCAGACCTCGACTGATCATGGATTGGATGGACAAGTTTTAACTGCAGGACAGCCAAGTTCTAATAACAATTCGTTAAAATCTGATAATTCAGTTCCTTCAGTCGATAACAAGGAACCTGCAATTAACAATGCCACTAGTGCAGTTTTGCCTGAAGCATTTGTGTCAACTGTGCATGCAAATGCGGCTGGGGGAAAGACTTCGGAGGTTGCTCTTCTTGATGAAAGGTCATTGTTGGTTTGCATGGTTCGCACAATTCCGGCAGGTGGTAGAATTCGCATCAGTTCGACGGTGAGCCTGCCTATTTGTTACTAGGTTTCCTAGTGAGCGTGACATTTTTGTTTTCTCAGCAACTAATTTAAAGCCTTGTTTCTCAGCAACTGATTAGTTCTTAATATATGTTGTTTGGTCTGGATACAGCTACCAAATAGGCTCGGAAAGATGCTTGCACCCTTACACTGGCATGATTACAAGAAAAAGTATGGAAAGCTTGATGACTTTGTGGCTAGTCACCGTGAAGTGAGTTTAATGATGATTTAAAGTGTTTTTTCATAGATGAATATTATCTCATCAGGACCTTAATTTTTATATTTCAGTTATTCGTGATTGAGGGTGACTATATTCAGCTTCGGGAGGGAGCGCAAGAGATGATAGCAGCTACAGCTGCTGCTGCAAAAGTTGCTGCTGCTGCAGCCGCATCATCTCCCTACTCTTCATCTTTGCCTTCTGTGGCTGTTACTCCAGTGGCACAGACTCACCGCTCAAGGAAGATATCGACTTCAAATGCAAATGATAATCACTTGCAGTCTGTAAAGCAGAATCAGCAATTAAATGGTGTAAGCTTTGGCGTTCCTGGAGGTCTCTCAAATGTAAAGATTTTGAGCAAATCTAAAGATTCTTGGGAACTGAACAGCCCTGACACTAGGCCAAGCCAGTCGTCTGTACTTTTGAATGGTGGAAATGGAGCAGTTCTGGATAGATCAAGCATGAGCAGTACCCAAAGCTCAGGCTTGCCTAATGGCCGGCTGAGCTCAAATGCTGTTGGGAAACAACATGGCAGGTTTACCTCTTTAAACCATCTAACATACCACAGTTTAATATTGCGGTGGATTAAGTAGTTACTGCTGCTTTATTAATGTGTAATGCTTATTCGGTTGATGTGTTACTTTGACAGGATGACCAATGCTACATTTACTTCCAGAAGATAGTAAGTACGATTACTCAATAGTTAAAGTACCACTGTAGTGTTTTGTGATATAATCTTTTTGAATACGTAATGTTGCATTTGTTTAAGCTGGTCGTCTACCAGTGGTCAAGTTTTTGAGCTGTCAATTATTCGGTGGATCAATATCAGTCTGCTCCCGTCTTTTCTCATATAAAGGGTTTAGAGTTCAGATATAGGATAGCATAGTATGAGCTATTATTTGCATATCATTGATCAATTACGGGATGATATCATTGGTCTAGTTGGTATCCAATTTCAAAGTTCAAACCCCGGTACCGAAACGTCGCAACTGATTAAATTTGATGATGCAAATGTGAGTTTTATTGTTTACATATTTTGTATGAATACCCCTACAGCAATGCATCTTAAACGTATTTGGTGGTGGCAGGAGAGAGCAGGAAATAGGCACCACCTTATGACCGGAATGGTGGACCCGTGCATGGACGTAAACTTATTTTGGAACGGCAACAGGACATGCGGGAGAATATATATTCATCAAAGATTGAATCACCATCAATATTTGCAGCTCACTTCATGGAATTCTCTGATTGGAAATGTTTGCCCGTTTTTTCGGTTTTCGATTCTTCAAAAGCTTTAGGTTGTGACTGTTTTATGATATACTGAAAAGAGTCAAAGAACTCAAAACTGTCTCTGCAGCGATGATGATATTCATGCACAAAATTGCTTCTGTGCGCATCTGGATGGATGGAAAATCTGCCCTTTTTGTTGGTGGATGAAATGATGGATCCTCGAAGCTTTATTAATTTGAGTACATTAATTTCATTTCTCTTTCCTGAATTTTACTGGATTGGGCTGAGATCAGCCCGACTCGGTTTCTATGTAATGGAAGCCCAGCCCGCTTGGTTTCGTTTGTGCCTTGTTGGTCTATAATGCAGTTTATGGCCTCTTGCACTCCAGATTGAATTCTCGTTCCGATAGATTATAATGTGGTGCTATTCACACTCTTTTTTACTTTTCATGCATTTCTCACAATTTCTATCGGTTAGCTCGAATGAATTAAGATGATTAAATGATATAAATTAACAGGGGCTATGAAAGGTAAAAAAGGGCCTAGATAGCACCACCCTTATAATATCGTTTTGTCGACAGAACAATAGTAGTAACGTTATATTCATTGGAACAAGTTAGTTGCCATAAATCGAGTGTGCCTGCACTTAAGGTGGGTAATATTTATTTCAAACTCAGTATTTACGAGATGTGAATTTAAATCTTGCCCCTACAAATTGAGTACGAATACCATTTAGATTGTAGTATTAAAACAATAATGTTTTGCAAATGTAATTTTGTACACGCTCAAGATCAAATTCTTCTTTTCACACACTAATTAAAATAAGAGAACTTTAACTAAAAGTTTCAGGTACTGTTTACTTTAACGAAAAATTATATTTTTACATTAAAAATTCAATTCTGATACTATTCACTTTACCCTTTATTTTGTCCTTATCGTTAAAACTCAAAATTTTCAAACCATTTTCATTAATTTTCCTTTAAAATAAAACATTAAAATTTTGGAAAGTCAGCAGGAATTTCTAAACGGTTCGTTTTACCCTACAAGCCGGATGGGAAGCGGGTGTATCTAAAAAGCCCGGGGAGATTGGAACGGCGTTAATCGAGGGTGCGTAGAAGTGTCGATCAGAAATCAAAGCGAAAGAAAGAAGGAAAGGAGCGGGAGAAGAAGAAAGATGGGTTACGTTCTGAGAGTGAGATTGGCGTCGTTTTTCGGCGGAGCTGCGGTGGCGTCGTTTCTGGGGCTCTACATCCTCCACAATGATTACAAGGTCGCCCACCACGCCATTTCTCAACAGGTCCGTTTTCCTTTTTTCCTTTCTGCAATTCTTAGGGTTCTATCTTTTCTTCTTCTGTTTTCTATATGTTTTATTCAATTTGCTGATTTGGGAACCTTCCGATCTCCGCGTGTTGACGGAAGATTGAATCTTTAAGTTGATTTGTAAAATGGGTTTGGACACAATTTGTTGTTTTCTATAATATTTAGGGAAAATTCTCCTCCTTTCAGCTGAAAATTTAATACAACAGTTAAAAACCAACTTGAAGAAAGTGGTTTATGAGCATTTTATTCAAATATTATTTTGAATTAGAACATAATTGCTCTGGTCAGTGTCATGAATTGCTGCTGAGTATGTCATAGTTTTGTTTAGGAGGAGTGAGGGGCTTGAAATTCTTTAGGGCATTGGTGACATTGAAATCGTGGTTTCGATCGTCGGTTTGAGTAGTTTATGTAGTGTACTTTGACAGTGGAAAATTTGAGAACAATGAAGATCAATCAATCATGTTACACAGAAAATGGTCACTAATCGTAATTTGAGTACTTTATTTCTTTTCCCAATTATTTTTTGGGTAATTTAAGCTCGAATGTTCTCCTTCTTTGTATCGTGTTTAGGATCCTTGTCTTCTACCAGTTAGTTGTGAGCTTTGTTGGTTTCTCATTATAGAAATCAATTATCTATTGATTTTCTACTTCAATTCATTTATGTTGATTTTAGCGAGGTACCCCATTCGTTCTTTTCAACCGATTATGGTTATGTATATATTCTTATAGGCTGTGCGAATGCATCTCCAATATGAATCGTGTATGATTTATCCTTCCTGGTGTGAAATCGTGATTTCTTTTACTATTTAGAACAAGAAAAGAAACCTTGATTTGAACAGTTCGTTATGTTTACAAGGTAAAAGAAATTTTGCTCATAACGTAATACTGCTGGAATGGTCATCAAAGCATGACATTATCTGTGCTTTTAAACTGTTTACACATGCACAGATCCTCACTTACGGGAAAACTTGCACACATGTAAACTATAAGTTCATATCCCGCTTCTCAGACTCAAATTATGTCAGTCGTAGAAGAAATTCTGATGGAACCTAATAAACTCTGGTTTTGGCCCCCTGATATAAGCTATTTTGTTTTTTCGTATACTCGATTGTTCAAACTTAAAATGTATGTTCATCTGTTGACATGATGGGATCTCCACTGTTACCGGCCTTTTGGGTTCGTGCAGTTTTACAACCATTTTGTGTATATAGTATTTCTAGGCATTTAAAGGGACAACAAAAGAAGGATAGATGAATTGTGACTTCCTTTTATTTCTTGTTTCTCCAGGTGAAAGGCCTCCATGAATCATTGGATAGAAGAATTTCAGCTCTTGAAAGCTTAAAGCCAACCGAAGCTCCACAACCAGTAGAAGCATCCGAGTAGATGCCTTGAGAATGCTACTGCAACTTAATCCCATTACTGAAATGATCTTTTTTGTTTCTTCGACTTATGCGGGTGGTTTCTATGTTGTTTCTCCCCCCTTTCAAAGAATAATAATCACAGGCATGTTTAATCATTCGTCATTTACTAGAACACGAGTATGTTGTATTTTTATCAGATGAAAACTGTTAGTAACTCTGAGAGATACTATGCACTGACGAGAGGTTGTTTTACTTTCGGATATAGTCTGTTTCATCGAGTATTTTGTGTATGCCGTGTTTCACGGTGAAAGTTTCCCTGAGAATGGAGTCAATTGCACAAAATTTCCCTTCCCTCCGGCGGCATTCTCTTGCTCTGTCACTTCTTCCTTCTCCCCTTTTTTCTCCTTTTTCTGTATTTCCAGTTCATCTTTCTTTTGCAATCACCTTGCAACAATTATGCGGATATGAAATTCAATCAACGTCTTTCCAAAATTGTAAAATCCAATAAACCCAACAAAAGAGCTTTTGAAATGGATACAAAAAGTCAACCAACCAGCGAATGGGCTCCTACAAAATTAATGGGCCCATTTGGAATAGAAGGAGGAAAGCCCATTTTATATTTGGACATCTCAACTTCAAAAGCCCGGAATGTGGAAGCCCCGGAAGCGTGGAAAAACTATACGGAGAGGATTTTGGAAGTTTAGAAAAAAATAATATGATAGTTGTCACTTGTCATATAAGACCTAGGAAGAATTAAAAAATTTTTTTTAAAAACATATAGAGTACTTGAAACTAACGAAAGATTTAACGCATAATCAATGCAGTAATGTTTTAAGCTTTATACAACTGCCAAATTTAATGAGATAAACTTGGTTGTTGTTCCGTGTTCGGTTCATCCGTCGGTTTCATTTTTCTTGTTCTTATGGTCGGTTAGATCTAATTTCGATTACCCATAATATCCCTGACACGTAAAAGGTGAAAACCCGACAGAAAACTGAAAAAACGTTGAATGCTCCTTTCCCAACTCCTTCCGTAGCCAAAAACAGGTGGGAGAAGAGGAATGATTAGGGGAAAGGGATTCTCCAGGGATTCCTTCCACCTATTCGTCTTTATCAATTAATCCGGATCCTTGAAATTTGATTCAACGATTAAATTTATTATAACTTTTAAAATGGGCCTGTGTTTGTAGTCGTTTGATCAAATTTCAAGGGTCCAGATTGTTTGATGAAGACGATTAGGTGAAAGGGATCCAGAGAGGATCCATTTTCATGATAAGGAGACTCTTTTAAAAGTGAGATTTTTCATGAATTTTCTATCACATCATGCTTTTGCATAATGTGTTATAATGCTGCTACGAGAATTAAAGTTAAACTGTGAGATATCATAGCGTATATAAAAAGTCCCAATTTAAGAAAGTTACGTTAGCATTTCTCCGAGGGAATTAGTTAGGTCAGTATCTGTGTGCTCCTTCCCTTGAGGTGTGAAAGCCCATCCCTATTCCCTCATTCCCTAACCACTACCACCGGACGATGCTGCTCCTCTGCTTCCTGAGGGCTCAGAGGATCAAAATTTGTATGTGCGCGCAGAACATAATCATAAAAAATGATAACACTTGATCTGACCACAAGAAAATAGGAATATAATAAACAGTGTAAATTAAGAAAAAAAGAGAGTTGGTGTGTTTGTGTTTCCTTGGCGGTGGTAGCTTCCGATAGCTTTCCATGGCACGCTTTTTCATGTCGTTATTGGATTTTGTTGTTTTTTTTTCAGAAATAATCCTTAAAGAATAACACGGAAGATAAACATTTTGAATCTTCGTACACTATATAAAATGAGAAGGAAAAAGAAAAGAAAATGTTACTAGCATTTCTCGTCAAACTCAACAATCATTACGGGTTTAGGTATGAATTTTAAACTCATTCTACATGTTCGTCAAGAGTTTGATTTCTGACTCTGAAAAATCACACGATGGTGAATAAGAAAGGTTGAAATGACTCTGTAAATCTTTTTAACCTATGTAACATTAGACTGACCAGAAGAAGCTAAAACCACCGTCTAATTTTCTTTTTCAGAAGAAAAAAAAAAAAAAAAAAAAAAAAACCAAACATTGAACATTGATACATTATTATTGATCGATTGAATTTGAACTTTGAAGGAAAGCATGGAAGTAAAAGGGGAGATGGAGGGAGGACAAGCGGTCCATGCCGATGTTATACTATATTCTTCCTTTGTCGGAAACATACTCTACCAAGTTCCAAGCAATCTCTCTCTCTCTCTCTCATATCATAGTTCATATATGCGTTCGAAAATTGCACCCATCGCACATGGACTTCCTATATCCATATACCGACTAGGTTCAGTGCTCAACCATTTCTCTAACTTTTTATGCATGTGGATTATGTGAGATAGTATTTCTTAGGGTTGCACGACTACGATAGTTTGCTCACTAATTAAGGATCGTATGAAGTTAAGTGAGACTAAAATATGATAGATTTTAAATTTACGTTTGAGGTATGATATGAGTACGTTGTCGGGAAGCCACCTACACAAATTTTTGTTACAAAATGTGGATTGTATTTGTGAGTGGGAGAAATAAAGTGGATTGGATTTGGTAAGTTCCATCACATTCATATTTCTTTCTTTGCAGATTTACTTTTCAAGGTGGGGGGGAAAGGATGGAGATTTGTTATGGGACCAGTTTCGCAATTGATCACCGACTATGTTGGTATCCTCTTAAATTACTTGTGAGTGTAAACTTACAAGATGTATACTATTACAATTAAACACTACGTTATTATAATGATATTATTAAATGTCAACTCAATATAAATATATAATTTTCGTTAGGTTAGTTGATTTTATTATTATGAACTTTCGTCTCAAATTTTGAAATTTTAACTCAAAATCAAATCAAATTATTAAATTCTTAAAAAAGTAGATTCACAACAAAACCTCTTTTCTACATGTATCAGTTAAACATTTTATTAGGAAGTCCGGTCTTGACTCTTCTGTTTAGTTAATTCTCGTTCAGCTCTTGGAATCACATCTATAACTTGAAGGAGTTATGAGGAAGGTCATTTCATTTTTAGATATAGAACAAATAGGTTCATCAGATGAGAGAATTAAAGATACCCAATCAGAAAAACTAATTCAATACTAAATTGATGAGCCAGAAAATAGAAGATTTTTGTTAACAAAATCTCACTTCTACAAATTTACCAAAATCAAATCCTTAATTTATCTACTCGTGTGTTCTTTGGTGAGTGAAGAAAGTGAGAGGATTCGAAATGGGCGGGTGGTGACAAAGAGGAAAGAGCCATGCAACTGGTGATGGATTGGGGAGGTGATGGGGACAACCCATTATTAACCCCTCCAGCTGTCTGTCCCACACACCAAGCTGCCACCTCACCATCCTCCATTCCATTCCAACTCAACCCATCCAACCCTTATTAGAAAAGTTGTTATCTTGCTAATTAGACATCAAAGTCAAAAGCTGTCAGTGAATCGAAGTGAATCGAACGTAAAATTTCTCACGTAATTTAAATTGAGACTGATATTAGTTTGTCTCAAATAGATATGCACAGACTTTTGGGTGGCCAGTAGTTAGGTCACCACTATTCCTTACTTTATTGGATTGTTGGAAAAAGATTTTTTGAACTGTAAAGAAGCATTGTCGCTTTGGTCGTTGCCTTCCACCAACGAGTGAACATGCTCTTATCAAATCGCCCCCCTCTTCGGAGACGGTTCTAAGCGAAAAACTTGTTGCTTTTAAATGCTTATAGAAGAAGTACCGGTTTCTGACCCAATAAAGATTAGGTAAAGTAGTTAGGAACGAATTTTAAACTTGTATTTTACATATTATATTATGAATTTAATTTCTAAAATTAGTTAATCACACAAGAATGACCAAAAGAACGCTAAAACATCTCTATGTCTTCTGAGGCGTGAAAGAGTAGACTGTCGCACCAGCTGTCTCTTTCTTTGAAACAAAATAAAATAAAAAGAAATCAGATGAAGATCAGTAGTGGCCCAGAATTCAATCCTTTTGTCATTCACCACCTCTTGTCTAGTCCCTTTCGTACATACTTTCCCGCATCCCTTCCACACGGCCCCGCGTGAGCGCTTGATTCGATCGACCAATGAAATTTGACCAAAAACCTTTCTTCACGAGGGTTTAATTATTGAAAAACTTACCGATAGCACGTATCTTTCTGATTCGTTTCGATAATAAAAGAGTAGTGGTATTTATGTATTTATCTTAACTTCTTACACACTTCTTAATTCTCGATTGTTAAATTAAATAAATTGAAAAAGATCAATAAACAAAAATTAACAGAAATTTGTAGAAAGGAACATACTTGTGTAAATAACACTCGCTCCCATAACACAATTATTGTTCTCCTTTTTGCTTCGTAAATAATTCCATGTAGTTTTTCTACGTATACTACCAGGAAATAGACAAAATTTAGGCAAGTCCTCATGATTCAATCAAAGGGTGTGTAAGTTAGAGACTCCAAAACAAAAACTTAAAAATGAGTCGGCCGTTATTTAAAAGAACGGCTTACATAAAAAAGACTGGATTGTATATATATTACAATGTACTTTTCAACCAGAATAAAACCATAACAATGGATCACATCCATTTTAGGTAAACAGCTTCAAGTGCACATTGTTAATTAGAGCATCCTCAATGAGGGCTTTATCCTCCATGAGGCTACCACATTTTCAGCCTTAGTGAGAATTTTCATCCCCAATGAGCTGGAAAATGGCGTTGTATCCACCACTAGGGCTAGCAACTTCATTTCTTAGGTAGCATAAAATCGGGCCACATCTAGCTTTGAAAAACAATGGGTCCCACAAAAAAAGTAGAAACTCATGTGAGCAAAATTCTATCATTCTCCCTCCACATACAAATACACTTATACTTTCCTTTTATTACTTTTTTAATTCTTGTTACTTACTTATTTTTCTTGCAATTTGGCTAATTAATGATTGTTTTAAATTCCATAAGAATTAAAATTTCAAATTGATTTAACGTTCATGGGCCATTGATGAGTGAAATTTTCAAATAATTTTTTTTCAAAATTGTATGATACCAATTTAACAATTGGTGCTAGGTAAATTGTTGTGTTATACATGAAAATCAAATTGCTTCAGAGGGTGAAGTGGGAGTTTGTTTTTTCAATGAATGAGATTGATTTAAAGGAATCTAATCCAACGAACGATTCATAAGTGATGAAATTTAACTTTGTCATAATTTGAACTTTTTAGATTGAAGGGTTCATTAAAAAAAAAAAAAATTATATAGCACATCAAAAAATCAACTTAAGGGAATCTAATCCAACGAACG